GTCCTCTCTGTGCCTAGAAGACAGGCTGGCGGCATGATGTGCCTGTTTGGGGTTGGGCACCGAGCACCGACGCTGGGCTCAGTCCCACAAAGCGGCTATTGTCCATCTTCCCGATGGAAATGCTCACGTGCCTTCGTGTTGCAATGCCCATCGTCTGCAGGCACACCAGAGGCTGGTGGTCTCCTCCATCATTTTAGGCAGGTCCAGAAAACTCTCTGGGAGCCTCCTGGGTGGCCCAAAGCAAAGCTGGTGGGGATGCAAGTGGAACCAGAGAAGAGACATGGATGATTCTAGGCCAGAACACTGAAAAGCCCTCGGAAGAGGGACCCTGGAAGCACAAAGTGATGTCTGTGTGAAATGCCTCAGCCAGCTTGTATTAGTGATAGCCAGAGTGTAACTACCTTGTCCAACAGATATTGGGCACCGCGACACTTGTTCCGCCTCTCCAGGGTGAGATTTGGCCCTTTGCTTCCCTTCTCAGCCTCAAATCAGCTGAAAAGACGAGGTGTAGTGACTGCAGCATTGACACAAGCCAGGAGCCTGTTTTCACCACTGACCTCAACGCTCATGTGGAGAGCTGTGTCTCAGCTCCTCCAAAGCCAACGATTCACCTCTCAGAGCAGCCGCCACCCTGAGGCCATGAGGTGCTCACCAAGCACAGAAAAAAAAGCAACTCCTGCTCCTGCCTGATGACAGAAGTGGCACCTCATGACACCGAGTGCCCCAGAACTTCAGATGAAGCCAGCAGAAATTACAGGCACTGAGCATCCTGCAGCATCATGATAGCAACTCGGAAATAACGTGGGACATGAACAAGGTCACTGTCCAGACTGTGGATGCTGTACACATGGCTCTGCTGACCTAACGACCATTAATTGGCCAGATAATGGAGTAATTCAGTGGGAACAAGCACCTGGAGGAAGTAGAACTTTTCTCAGGGCCTGTCCCTGGCTGGTGCAAACCCTGCAGAAAGCTCTCTGACCACCTGAAGCAGTGGGTAGGGTCTCACCTTCAGCTTGTGCTCGTGCTCCTTGTTGACCCGGGACAGCAGCTGGGCTTTCCTTCTGTTGAGGGCGTCGATGAGGGCGTCACACTGGGCCACCAGGCAGGCCTCGAACTCCACGCTGTTCTCCTGCAGGTCAGAGCAGAGCATCACAGCCTGAGGCACATCCCCATCTCAGTTGGGAAACCTGATTTAATTTTTTTTATGATACCACATGGGTCATTTTTATAAGACTGCAACTCGCAAATCCATAGCATTAGCAGCTGGGATGCTTACACCCTCGGCGAAAGTGTTGGTGGCAGATGAGGAACAAGTTTGGTCAATCCTGCCACATCCTGGGATCTACCTATGGCAGAGATGGAAAGGGCTGGGATCTCTGCTGCTCCCTCGGCTTTGGGAGGTGCAGTTTTTGGGAGGGCTGCACAGGTCAATATGAAAAGTCAGGTGTGTTCACCTTTGGCAAAGCACCCACCAAAAACCAAGCTGGGCAGATGGGATACAGGATGGCAGAGAGCAGCTCAACCTGGTGGGAAGGGGCTGCTCCTCGTCCAGGAGACACAGTACCTGGATTTGCTGCACCATGTTGCGGAGCTGGACCAGGAACTCTTTTGCTTCCTTGGCTCTGTCTGACAATCCGTTCAGGGCCTGGGAAAGCTGGCTCTGCAGGGGGAAGAAAGAATGAGGTCAATTCCGCGTCCTGGACAAGTCCTTATGCTGGAAGAGCTGATGAGGTTGCAGTTTTGGGCTGGGGATGGACTGCAGCCCAGTGCTGCCTCCCCAGGGAGTGCAGCCTCCAGCAACTCACCGAGGTGTCCTTCTGCCCTGAGGGTGAGGAGAGGAAAAGGAGGGGTTAGCCATCATCACTGATGCCCTGGGTTTGGGAAGCAGATGTTCACTGTCCACCTCCTCCAGAAGCTTCCCTAGGGGATCAAGGACGAGCCACATCCATCCCGGGTCTCAAAGCGAGCCAGTCACTACCTTCCCTGAATCCAGGGAGCCAGACACTAAAAATCCTGTAGGATCGGACCCACGTCTGCTGAGAATGGTTAATGAAAAGGGCACAGGTCAGGCTCCTCTGAATCAGGCTGAAAAACTCCTGATCCCTCTTGAAAGCCAAGGTGAAGCAGGGTCCTCCACTGCCATGCAAAATACTGATTGACGCTTCCTCCTTCTGCTCCAGCCCACACTGAGAGGTGCGACACCGCAATAAGAGCGGTCATGTCTTGTGCTTTTTCATTTTCACGGCACTTTCCAAACATTAAGCCAAGAACCTTCCCCTTTTCCCATGATTTCAGTGAGAGTTACCTCAAGCGCTGGGCAAATTACCTGCAATAATTTACCTCTCGGAGAGATTTTGCCTCTTTCATGGGCTGCAAAACACCTGCAAACACCACGTAGAGTTTGAGGTGTGATTTTTTTTTATTTTGTGGCAGGCACAGAAAGGGAGCTCCGAAGATGGCTGGTGCCCCGAAATCTCCAAAAACCTAAGGTGTCCATCCCTCCTGTCACCAGGATGTTGGCACTGGGCTGGCACTCATCCCGCCGTGCTCCCCTGGATCCCCCCCGGCATACGAGGAGGTGATAGGGGAGAAGGGAACGCGATGGTGCAGAAGGGATTTGAGGTCACCAGAGCGCAGCGCCCGCTGAGATTGTGCTGGGCTGAAATCAAGGAAAAAAAAAAACGCTATTGAAGAGACGTGGTAGCAAATGAATGGCGACCATTTAATGGACCAGAAAACGACCTCACCACCGCTTCCCCAGGAGATGTTAATATAACCCTCATGATTTCTACGTTTCCTCTGTAATTTATCATGCTCGAGCTGTTAGGATGTGAAGCTAATCAGCAAACACATCCCTAATAAAAATGGGATTGCTAAGTCAGCTCGGCAGGGCCTCCCTGTCTCTCCTCCTTCCCCTGCAGAAGGGCTCCAGCCCTCCCAGATTTTATGACGGTGTCTTAAGTCCACCAAGGTGTTTTGCTGAGAACCGAGCGCTGCAGGGTCCTGGTCTTCAACAGCACAGGCAATTTGTACAGAATATCAGTGGGAAGTTTGTTGTGTTTATGAGCTCCTCATTAAAATTGCAGCATGGTGGTTTGTTTGTTGTTTTTTTTCCCTTTAATAAAGTCTTTGGAAGGCTTTTTCTTCTATCAGTGTACAACTTCTGAAAGGGGATCTTTTATCTCAGCGCAACTCTTTGAGGCTTTTCTAACGGGAAAGCATTTTAAATGTGCAGGAAATTATCTTTTCCATAATCATAAGGTTAGTGAGGTGCACAGAGGACACTTTGCCCCATCCCTCAGCCTCAGCATGAAGAACGGGGTGCGCACAGCCAACACCAGCGCATAGCCAGCTCACAGCGATGCACAGTAAGAATTAGCATCACCTGTGGGAAGCTGGTGATGCCAATTTCTATGCGGCCACACACTCCTGACTGGACACAGGAGCTCTAAGATTTGGTTTTCCATCGGTGTGAGCTTCCAGCTGATCTCCAGGAAGGGACCCCAGCATGCTGAGGCTCTCCTGGAGCAGAGACACATTCCTGGACATGTCCCTTCAAAACAAACATCTGCCCAGTTCTCCTGCTGCATCTCCGCTCCTTATGGCAACAGTCACCTCACTGGGGACTCGGAGCTGTGAGCCATCACAGTTAGCCCATTAAACAAGGTTAATTAATGCTACACGACAACGGAGCGCATATGGGAATGCATGCGGGGACTCGCGGGCACGCCTGGATGTATTCATTAAGGGCAGCACTGCAGGCGTGGTGACAACGTGATTCATAACTGTACACCACGGAAAAACAAAGTCCTCCTGGTTTCTGTTATTATGTTAATAGGGCAAAGGCTGCGGAGAGAAATTAAGTGACTGATTGGGTCCATAAATTCTACAGGTACCTTCTGCGACCCTTGGAACAAACCCAGGCTTTAACACAGCCTGTCGCATCACCGAAGGATTTAATCGCCGGACATGGGAGGCAGAGTCACAGGTTTCCCACCAGCATGTGAGCTGCATGGAAGGAGCAGGAGCTGGAGACTCAGGAGGAGTCCTCAGAGCTGGCGCAGGGGGTCCCAAAGATCTCAAGCTTTGTCTCCTGCTGCATCAGATTGCAGGGAACTACATGCCGTTGGAATTTCTGACAGACACTGGGGGAACTTCCCCTCCCTGCAAAAAGCTGGGATGTTGCACTTTGCATCTCCAGGGAAAACGAAATCTTTGGGGCCACTTGGGGTCAGGAGCCTTGCTCTGGGGACCACTGCCCCCCCTGAATAGCTGGGGATGGTGGATGGAGACCCAGCCTCCTCCAGCACGCAGGGGTCAGCCAGCTCGCATGCGCTGGACCGGAGCAGAGTCCCACCCCGAGCTAGCCCAGGCAGGGGAATTAATGAGTGTGAAATGAAGAAAAATCCCATTTAGCGGCGTCTTAAAATCAAGTGAATTTGTTCTTTGCAGAAAGCTGGCCTCTTTTTCAATGCTCTTGTTTCAAGGCAGTAAGAAGAGACCTCTGTAATTCACATTAGCATTAATGGGAGCTAAGCATTTTAAATCTCTGTCCCCAGAGCACTTAGGAGAGAATCCATCCCCTCTTTGTGCTCGCTAATAGCTCTGTAACCCTCCTTCCCAGGCACAGCTCACAAAGGGATTTCTGTCACTCTTTCATTCTCCCTTGTCCCAGAGCACGGATGAGCACAGTTGGTGCAGAAGGTTGGTGGCTCAGCAGGGCTGTGCAGGCTCCAAGAAAGGGAGAAAAGCATCGTTTTCAACTCCCTGTTGTCTCTCAGACGGAGCTGGTCTGGTTCTCCTCCCGTACAACCCAGCTGCCAGCGCCGGAGCTCCTCCAGGTTAACCTTGAGGTGAGGAGGGAGCTGGGCCTGTTATTTTAGGAGGTGCCAGGTCCTGCTCAGGGTTGGGTGCTGGATCTGCAGAGCCAGCTCCATGTGACGGCTCCATCTGGCACACCGAGAAATGCCTGAAGTTCCCTACTGTTGGCCACCAGGAACAGTTGCTCTCGTTTCAAATCTCAAACTGCTTGCAGGGCCTGGCACTAGACAAGATGCAGAGAGCGCTCAGGAGAGACACCAGTTTTCTTCTCAGTGGAGGGGAGGGCTACTCTGCAAGTCAAAAAAAGCAACTGCTAGCCCAGGTCCCCCGGCCAGCTGGAAGCCCCACTCCCTCAGGAGCCGTGAAGCTCCGTGCTGCCTGTCCCTGGTCCAGAATGGCTGCACCCACGGGCAAGAAAGTGAGTTTGTGCGTGATGGCGAAAGGCCACGGACTCAAACCAGATCAAGAAAGGACCTTTCTGTTCAAGGTGAGGCCAAGTCATTATCGTTGGATGTCCACATCTTCTGTCCAGAAGCGGTTTTCCAGTCTCCAACTGTTCACAGCTCAGGAACCTCATGATGTTGGCATGGCTTCTACCCCCTCGGATTTCTCTTTCACAGAACTGTCCTGTCCCCTCGTGGGCCAACATCAGCTTTTATCACCCACAAAGGTCCCATAGCAAGGAGTTCACAGCTCCTTGTGAAAGCCACCTCCTCTGGGCTGCCGCAGACCGTGTCCCCTTCAAAGGCCATTTGCACTCAAGATTTCAGATGACTGCATCTCCCTACCAGCCACAGACAGGCTTGGTGCTCCCTGTCACCCCAGGACAGAAAACACACCCCAGAAGAACTTTTGCCATTACAGTGAGAGCCCAGTATCTCCTCCGCCATCCCAAGTACTGCAGCCAGCTGCCAGTTCTTCTCTCCTTCCACCAAGTCATCGCACAGACAGTTCCTTTTACGGAGGTAAGAGAGGAAAAAGCTATGGCAAGAAAAGATGCTGCTTCCAGTTCTTCTGCTTATACCCCTGAAATGACGAGGAACTGTCACAGATGCTGGAGTTGAAGTCATGTGCCTCTTTTTTTTTTAAATTAAAGCACAGGACCTATAACCTTTGAATCCTGAGGCGAGCTTACTACATGTGATGCCTGACTAATTAAAATAAGATGTTTAATTAAAACTTGCATTCAGTCAGGAAGCTGATGAAGCTAAACTGGTGCTAATTGGTTTTCAGCTCCAGTCACGAGAGCCTGACTTTTGGATTCAAAACTGCCTAAAAAAGACAAACCTGGAGCTCTGCCTGGGCTGAACCTGCCCCTCGAGCCTGGGCCATGAGACAAGGGGACACCAGACCGGACTCTGCCATGTCCCGCAGGGACTGTTCCTCATGGGAGATGAACATGGGCAAGCCAGCTGTGCCCCGTGCTGCAAAGGAGCCTGCTGATCCCCAGACTAGACCAGTGATCCGTGTGTACTTACTCTGATGAAGACAAGCCTGGAAGGCACTCAGAAACAGCCCTGTTTTACCAAAAACGCCCTGCATCCTCTGCAGCAACTGCTATCAAACCTGAACCTCCTCAAAGGCCCTCTTCTCTTTCTCTCTCTTCCGCTCTGCTAAACCTGATCCCCCACAACTGCATTAGAAATACAGATGGTGAGTTATATCCCAAAACAACCTCATCCTGTGCCCAAAAGCTTGGTGGAGAGCAGTGCTTTTGCTGCAGCCCACTCGCT